ATCTTTTATCTTATGGTTTATAAAAGACTTCAAGAAAGACTTCAAGACGGATTCTAAGCAATTTGGGCTTGGGTGAGAATAAAAGATACTGGTGTCATCAGTGAAAAGCAGAGGGTCTGATAATTCAATGGCATTAGGGAGGTCATTTATGTATACAATAAAGAATAATGGGCCTAGAATCGAACCTTGAGGGACACCACACTTGATGGTTTAGATTGGAGAGCAAGTTTGATTGAATTGGACAAATTGCTGGCGGCAAGAAAAGTAGGTTTTAAGCCATTGCAGAGCCACGTCATAGATACCATAGTCCTCCAATTTGGCAAACAAAATTTGATGGTCGAGACTGTCGAAAGCTTTCGAAAGGTGTAGGAAAACACCCTCCGTTGTTTCGTGTTGGTCGATTGCAGAAGAAATTCTATTTAACAAATGAATTAGCGCGTGCGATGTCGAGTAACTTTTCTGAAATCCGAACTGACAGTGGTAAAGTGTATCGAGTTTTTGGGCAAACTTTACAAAGCCATTTGATATGAATTTTTCGAAAAATTAGGAAAAATTAGACAACAAAGAAATAGGTCTGTAGTTTACAAAAAAGTTAGGATCCTCTGCTTTGAAGATGGGCATCATTTTAGTGATCTTAAGTTTGTCTTGGAAAATGCCTTTTTTTAGCAGAGATAGATTGATAATATCTGCCAGAGGAGCAGAACTAAGGTGAAATGAATATTTAATGACATGCATTGGCATAATGCAGTTCACTAGTTGTGGTGCGTTTTAAGTTGGTGGAGGGATGGTTATTATCACCGAGATAGGAACGAAAAGAAGGATTCACAATGAGTATAGATCTAGCTTGGTTGGGACCAACGTTTGTAAAGTATTTACAGAATCTGCCAATTACTACTAGGTCTGGGAAGAGATAACTTACTTTTACGCTTGTTGATAACCTCATTTAACAATTTCCAAGTTGTTTTGAGGTCATTTCTGGCATCCTCAAGTTTGGAGTCAAAGCATTTTATATTTTTGTATTTATGAAGAATGGCAATGAAGCTGGGGATGTATTCGGCAACTCACGAAAGTGTTACCGTGCCCGTGGTCAGAGATA